TTTAATCCATGGCTCTAATCGCCTTTTTTTTTTTTTTTTTCACCATGGACACCCAGAGGGAGTGCTGGGGGATTACCAGCCACACGTCGCAGTTTGTCTGCTGTGATGGTTTTGCACTTGTATTTCTTTAATTAACAAATGAAATACAAGGTCTTATGGTACAGTATATAGTAACTATGGATGTACACATATACAGGTCATGGCCAATGTCTATTAACTCCTACTCCAGTTGTGGTATTGGATTTTTATAGGGTTGTAATAACTATTATTCTAATTACTGATTAAATAAGAAAGTAAAAGGCAGATTAAGAAGTTCATCCTTTTATCTATAAGGAAAGAGTGAAAAATACATGTTGTCATTTTCAAATCCCAAGGTGACATCTTCAGTTTGCTCATTTCCCAAAGATATTTATATTTCCAGAAACTTTCATTGGAGCCTGTATCTGTATGATATGTTCTACTATTTCTAGAATGTACTTTTTTTCATATTTACCTCTGCAGAACAGAAAGCTCACAATGCCAACTAGCACTAGCTTTATAAGCAGCAGCTATGATCTTTGCTTTGAATAACTGGCAAACTTAAATTGATGCTTAATGCAGGTGTCAGTCCTCTTCTATTTGTGCTCTGTGCGTATTTTAATCCAACTACAACAAAAATAACAAAAACATCTGCTGGTATCTGGCAGAAAGCAGGAAATAAAAGCATTAAAAATTAGTTTGGGGCAAAGTGCAGTCTGGGATGATCCTATTAAGTTTTTTTTATGTGTTCTTAGCCAGGATGAACACCAAAGAAGGTAAATTAAGGAGAAAGAGTATTTGCAGTATCATGCAAATGCTAAGCTAAGGTTACATGGACTGGAATCGGATTTGTTTTGACTCCTTGACTTCAGAATCACACAGGACTGTTCAATTAATATGCTAGCTAGAGTTCATGTTCTTACAAGCCCTTTTTTCACAAGTTAGCAGAGGAAACAAACAAAACCAAAAAGACACTACGAAGCCAATTATGCTACTGTAATTTCAACCAAAAAAAGAAACTGTGTAACTGCACAATTAATTGAGCCACCAATTAGGTTCTGATCCAGGAAAGCCTTCAGTGCCCAAGGAAACCCCACAGTTCATGGCAATCAAAATAGCTTCCTCCTCTGCTATTTTAAAACCAAGCAGCCAAAGTAAGATAGAGAACTGCTGGATTCCTCCCTTCTAGTGAAACTGATGAAAAATTCATCTTGCCAGGTTCTGCTTTATCTTGAGCTCCCTGCAAAGCTTCATTAAATCTGCTGTAAAACCTCTACCTCGATTTGGTTCAGCGCTGAGAAGCTACTGAGGCTAGCCTCTGCTATGAATCACATTTACATTAATTCTCATACATTTACATTCACATTTTCAATACTGTATATGCATTTTGCTGAGAGAGCAGTTAACAGTCCATGAATAATCGGTGGAGACCTCTGAAACTAAGATATTGTCAACATGCATACAACAGGTTAGCTTAGAGGGGTTAAAGGCCACAGCATTCTGACAAATACATTTTGTGTGCCTTTTAAAATGACAAGTGTCAGCAGTGAGAAGGTGGGGAGGAGGGAGTTAACGTGGGTGGAAACTAGCATCAAGTGAGCTTTCCGTTCATGGAGAGGGATTAGACGCCTCTCACTGGAAACAGAGGTTGGATTCAATCCAGCCCTCTCTCCTTGCTGCTTTTCTCTCCTTCACTTCTTATTTTTCTCTTCTCTTATCCCTTGGTCTTTGATCTTGCTCTGTCCTTTCTTTCTTCATCCTCCACTGCTTCTTTTATTCCTTATGCTTCTTCTTAGCTGAGTATCCCCAGCACTGACAAGTTCATTCATTCATTTTTTTAAACATCTCTCAAAGGCAGGGAAAACCTTCAATTGACTTAAACTTGTTGATTTTTAAGTTGCTTTGGTAAATTTCCTATTCATTCATTCTCGATTATCACACACATACACTCTCTGGCTTTCCTCTCTCACTCACATTGGTCAACTCCAGTTGCTGACAACAACATCTCTCATTAATTTGGTTAATGAGATGATGTTTCAGAGAAAACATACTGTCGCTGCAATTATGCTTTAGTTGCTTCTAGCCCTTAGATGAAGGTCTTGATTCAATTTTGAAGATCGAAAGCTGACACGAACAATGCGAAGAGATGCAAACCCCTGTGTCCAATGCCAAAGTCATATGCTTTCAACGCTCAGCCATCCACTCCAACCTGCTCCCCATGACTTTTTGCTATTTTTTTAAAACAAAACAACAAAAATTTGAAGGTGTCAACTTGGGCTCTGCAAAATTGTGACTTTTTTCTGACATTATGACGATTACTAAATTAAGTGAGAAAATGATCAACAATTGCAATGGTAAGGGTTTGACTGATGTAAAAACTGTCAAATAAGTTTGATATTAGGCCAAATACCAAACTGGTAATACAGAATTTTAGGACCATGTGTCACACATGACTCCGCCGCTCCCAAGTGGAACATTATGAGAGCCCATGAATGAGAGTGGAGTTACAAGTTAATGAGTTTTCCACAACAGGTTCCTGCAAATGTTTATTAAAAGCCTTGTTAAGAAATGAAGGGTGTCTGTCCACTAAACTTAACGGGGCAAACAAGAGTAGATCAAAACGAGGCTTCATGGCTAGCTTCCTCGCTAACGTAGCAAACAGATGTAATGTTTTTTTTAACAAAAAAATAAAAAATAAAAAGAGGTATACTGAAAAGGGACTATACAGCAAAGTATTTCTCAAACTAGTTGGCAACTTAGTATGAAGTTCATACTAGTTCAGTTGGTTAAAACTGCATTAAATCAAACTGTATTGAGTTTGTACACCAGGCCAGACCAGACACTGACCCATCCGCACACTGGGTTCAGGCTGACTGGGTATATTGAAATGGTTGTTCATAAAGACTGGGATGTATTTTCAAAAAGTTTGCATTGTTGATCTGTCTCTCTGTACTTTAATTCTTCTCTTGGAGCTGACGTCTCCCACCCTCATCATCAATCATTTTGAAATATTACTGCAATGTTTAGGCCTGAAAGCTTGTTGCGTAGTTGTAGAGATCTTGTTTACCATTGTTACAGTCCGTATCTTGTGTGCACTAAAGGCGTTTAAAGACACCTTCACCACAAGGTCATTGGCTTCTTTGAAATGCACACAAAGAGCCACTAGGACAAGAAACATTGATAGCTGGGCTTGGCTCACTGTGTTTTATGTTTTTTTTTCTAAAAGCCTGGATAATTTTACACCTCAACCTGAAACGCACAATAGTGACTGATGACAGCCATCCTGGGGTGGAGGAACTAACCTAGAAGCCAGAAAACTACAGAGGCAGGCTGACCTATAAAGCAGTGGCTTTCATGTTGTTTAAAAATGTGAATTAAAATAATAATTAAAAAAATATATTTTAGCAGAGTAAAATACACCAAAAT